AAGGGAGAAGTAGACGAGGATGATCAAAGGAAGTAATCTTTTTTTTTTTTTTTTTTTTTTTTTTTTTAAATGCAGTATATCTAACTCCCTGTAAGTCATTAAGAGGGGTTTTGATTGGACGATGTCAGTCATTAAGAGGGGGTTTGATTGAATGATGTCAGTCATTAAGAGGGGGTTTGATTGGACGATGTCAGTCATTAAGAGAGGGGTTGATTTGACGAGGGCCTTGCTACAGAAACACACAGCTACAAAACGAGCTGGCCGCTTTTTCAAAGAGCAAAATCCGTCGTCTCGCGCTCTGTTTGATCTTAGGTTGGACGATTCCGAAAACGAGATCGATGTCCGGACAGAAGTGCAGAAAGAGAGAGAGGGAAGAGAGAAGCGTAAGGGAGATGATCGATCGAGGAAGGCATCAATCTGGAGAAGCAAAAAGAGCGGGAAATGACTCACACAGGAAATCCTTCGTTCGATCCATGAACGCCGCTCGGCACTCGGTAGCTCGGCGGAAAGGTTAGCTACGTCACTATTTGCTCTCTCTCTCTCTCTCTCTCTCTCTCTCTCTCTCTCTCTCTCACACACACACACACACACACACACACACACACACCTCGACAGATGTGTATAAGAGACAGGCTTAATTGGGGTGCGATTCTTTCGCCTGTTAGTACTAAAGGCAACCGAGGAGCGGAAGGAGGAGGAGGAGAAGGGAGTAGGAAAGAGGAGTTAGGAGGCGGGATGCGCTGAGCTCGAAGAGAGCAAGAACCCCCCCCCCAAAAAAAAGCACTGACGTGAACGAGGAGGAGCAGGAGGAGGGGGAATTATACCTGCGTGTCCAGCTAAATTGGCGTGCAATTGTGTGGCCTTTTTCACTAACTACTACCGAGGAGGAGGAGGAGGAGAAGGAGGGAGTAGGAAAGAGGAGTTAGGAGGTCGAAGGAGGAGGAGTAGGGAGGACGGAGGCGGAGAAAACAGTAGTCACGACACAGACGGCTGCGACGAGATCCTCTCAGCAGCATGCATCAACGATATGCCACGTGTACATTCATTACAGCGGCCATTTCAGACCGTCAGTTTCGGTCCTCTGTGCTTCCTGCTGTCAACTCCTGACCGGCCCTTTTTTTTTTTCCTAGTCCTCATCGATTACCGGATTTGGGTGTGTGGGGAGGAGGAACAAACGGAAGATACGGAAAAGATCTGGTGCAAAAATGTCAGTTGGTATACCAATGAGCTGTTGAAAGACAGACCATCCCGTTCGAATCCAGATGGAACTGACTAGATGAATGGAACCAAATACTTAATTATGCATTGCAATGGGCCGTTCAATTCGAGAATGATACATCAAGACCGTCGCGACTTAAAAAAAAAAAAAAAAAAAAAAAAAAAAAAAAAAAAAAG